AAATGTCCTTGAGTGAGGATTAAAAAAAATAAAAGGGACACATCAAGTGGTTGCCACCTGCATGACCCAACAGGGCCGGGGACAAACTGCAACCGAGGTACGTACCCTTAGCAGAAACCGAACCCGGGTCTCTTTGGACCGCAGGCCAATGCTCTAACCGCTGAGCCAAACTGGCCAGTGCTACCTTTTCTTCCTTTTTAAAGAGAACTTTCGTTTCAAAGAACACTTACCAATTCAGTGACAAGAGTACGAACACTTCCTATATAAGAAGACAACTGCCGTTGTTTCAAGGTATGCAGAGTATTTTCCCTGAAAGAAAAAGTACAATTTCTTTTTAAAGGAGCAATTCTAATAGGTCTATTAAAAAAACAACAACTCAAAGTGGAAAAAAAAAGGGCACAAATTCAGAAAAAACAAGCAAAAAATGCGAAGTATAAAAGGGCATTTTACATTTTAGCACAGATGACTAATGATGTTGAGGACATTTTCATGTCCTTATTGGCCATTCATCTATATGGTTTTGTGAGGTATCCAAATCTTTGTCCTTTTTATTGAGTTATCTTTTTATTACTGAGTTGTAGCTCTTTATGAACTATGGGTTCTATGTTTCTTCCAATCTGCAGCTCACCAATTCATTTTCTCAATGATGCCTTTTAATGAGAAGTTTTTAATTTTGATGAAGTCAAATCAATTTTTGTCCCCTTATTGCATTCCATGACCTAAAAGAAACACTTACCTATTCCCTAATCATAAAAATGTCCTCTTCTACTTTACTCTGCAAGCTTTATGGTCTCAGTTTTTACATTTAGGACTATGATCCATCTTGAATTCATTGTTGGGTATGATGCAAGATTAATCTTTTTTCACATAGATATCCAGTTTTTTTGCAGTTTGTTGAACAGACATTACTTTCCTCATTTGATTGCTTTGACAGCTTTGTTGAAAACCAAATGACCGCCCCGCTAGTGTGGCTCAGTGGTTGAGTGTCAACCCATGCACCAAGAGGTCACCAGTTCACTTCCTGGTGAGGGAACATGCCCAGGTTGTGGGCCAAATCCACAGTGGGGGGCATGCAGGAGGCAGCCAATTGATGTTCTCTCTCATCGATGTTTCTGTCTCTCTCTCTCTCTCTCTCCCTTCGTCTTATTCTAAAATCAATAAAGAAACAAAATAAAAAATAAAAAGAAAACTAAATGACCATGTAAGTGTGGGTCTAATTGGGGGTTCTCTATTCTGTATTTGTATAAAATTTGCAAAAATCTTAACAGAGCATTTTAACTAAAATCTTTTTCCTGAAAATGAGAAGTCCTTCTTTGCTCAGAATATCGCAACTACTGAAGATTTAATTTTTAATAAACATCCAGTAACACTAATTTCCTAGGTAAGCAGAGAAAATAAAATTGACTTGCAGACTTTGTACACATAATATTACTGAATTCAAAGTAATCTGAACTTTTTCTTCAAGTTTTGAAATAAATTGTCTCTTTAACATAGGGGTGCTTTCTGGTTTCAAGGGCCTAAAATAACTTAAAAAGTATTGAAGGGTGTAGGGAAAAGAAAAATTTTTTAAAAATCACAGGTAGCTTGAAACATGGCATAAATGTCTTCTTGATCAAAATATAATTATTTAAAAAATATAGCAGTTGATTGTTTGAACACATGAGTCAAACCATGTCACATTCTTTTATTTTCAAGGTTTCCCATCACATTTACAATAAAGCCCCAAACCCTTACCTTTGCCTGCCTATAAAAGTCCCATGTGAGTTGGCTCTCTTCAATCTCATTTCCCACCATTCTTTTCTCTGCCGTGTTCACACTGGCCTCCTTGTGAACAAATACTTTACCTTCTCAGGGTCTTTGCAGTTTCTGTTCTTAACTAGAACACTTGTCCCCCATATTTCTGCATGGCTCGCCTCCTTTAATTCTTAAAAGCCTCTTACTTTTAACTACCTGTTACTTTCTTAGAAAGGCCATCCCTGATCACTTCTTCCACTTAAAGTGGTACCCATTACCATCCTCTATGCAGCAACTCCGATTCTTTGTTTTCTTCAAAACTCTTAATACCTAATAGGATATGTATTTGTTTTTCCTCTCTTAAACATTATAAATTCCATAAAGGCAGGGTTTTTATCTGTTTTACTCACAAAAGGAATAAGCAGTAATGAGTGAATAAATATTTGCTAAAAGATGAATAAACAAAACCAACTTTAAGTCTTTGGAATAAAAGTTTAATGACTTACCAATATACTGATTTTGCATAAAACTCAATATTATCAGAAAAATCTCCAATCTCATCTTTGGCAATGCTCTCTAACCAATCTACCACCAGCTAGAAAGTTAAAAAAAAAAGAAGTATTAAGTATAAAATCTGTTAGGATTTTATTTGCAGTACTCCTACCCATAACTTCAAGAGAAGTTTTGGATACAAAAATAGGAAGTAATAATTTTTCCAACCACTACTTTTACTTTGTAAAGATATATAAATATTATGGCAAATGGCTAAAATTTTCGACAGAAATAACACACTTCTTAATAGGTTATTCTTGGAAACATTAGTGCTATTATTTGAAAACCAAAAACAAGGTTCTTAATTCCTTTTAATTACAAATAAAATAATCAAAAAGAAAAAATGTTTTAAATTAAAACACCTTCAATTCTTTTATGTCATTCACCTTTTGTTTCCATGTTTCAGAAAAAAATATATACAAATTCTAGTCATACCTGACTTTGTCGGACAAGTGAATCTCTCTGAAATAACGCCTCCACAACTGCTTTTTCACTAGCATTAAGAACCTATTAAAAAAGTATTTAAAGGAAAAAAGAAAAAAGATGCTCTAAGAATATTATTTCAACAGAATGGTAAAAGCAAATCTGAAATAAATATATTTAATCACCCATAAACATTTTAACACACAGCAAATTGGTATTTTCACCTAAGAAAAATTTTTACAAATAAATTTCAAACTGCTATATCAATGTATGGCTGCTTTTATTTGATATTTTAATTCTTTGGCTACACTTATTCCCCAGAGATACTGTTTTAGGGAAAAATAAAACACAAAACAAAATGAAATAAACAAAAACAAAATCATAATAAAGGGATGGATGGATACAGTCATGTGACATATAAGAAAATTTTAAAAATTTAAAAACTAAAAAATTTATTCTACACAGCAGAAGCTGACGAGTAATAAAACGTAACAATCCAAGGCTCTAAAGACTAACTTTAAGGACAACTTGACAAAAACATTAGCAATTTAAACAGTATATTAAAAGGACAATATGTGGTGATAGAAGCTATTAATTTATCCATCTTATTCACAGATTCAAGGAGAAAGGCCATAGGAACATCTGGATAGATGCCAAAATGTCATTTGCTAAAGATGTCTTCATAAATCACAAACAGAAGAATATTTTGCTAATATGACAGACCACCTAAAGTCTATAGCAAGTATTACATTTAACTCTAAAACCAGAAAGAAAAAAAACAAAAACAATTGAGTAGCAGTTTAAGTATGAAAAAAAGACTCAAAGTTGTCACTATTTTTAGATAATAGAATTGCCTATGAGAAAGCCAAGACAATCAATGCAGAACTATTAAAAATAGTTAAATTTGCATGGCCAGTTTGGCTCAGCTGTTAGAGCGTTGGCCCACAGACCTGAGAGCCCTGGGTTCGGTTCCCACTAAGGGCACATACCTCGGTTATGGTTCGTCCCGTCCCGGTTGGGGTCATGCAGGTGGCAACCAGTCAATGTGTCTCTCACATGGATGTTTCTCTCTCTCTCTCCTTCCCTCTCTCCCTCCCACTCTATCTGACAATAAATGCAAAAACGTCCCCGGGGTGAGGATAAAAAAATAAACAAATAAAAGAAAAAATAGTTAAGTTCATTAAATAGCCACATACAAGATAAATAATCTCCCTAGACATACATATCACTTAGTTGGAATAAAACAAGTATTTGCATAATAAATTAAAAGATTGAGAAAGCAACAAATGAACAGGCAAGAGAAATAAACAAACAAAAACTCATAGACACAGACGAGAGTGTGGTGGTTACCAGAGGAAAGGTGGATGGAGGGTAGTAAAAGGTAAAGGGGGTCAAATATACGGTAATGAAAGATGATTTGATTTTGGGTGGTGGGCACACAAAGCAATATACAGATATGCATCACAGAAATGTACACTTGAAACCTTTAGAATCTTACTAACCAATGTCACCCAGTAATTTAATTAAAAAAAAACAACTTAAAAAAATAAAAGAGTGCTTCAAAGCCAAAAAACAAATAAATAAAAAACTGAAAAGACAGTAAAAAATATTTTAGGTGAAAAGGCAGATTAATTAACATGTGTGGCTGAAATAATTTATTATAAATATATACACTTATTTCCTCCTTTCTTTTACGATAGTTGCTTCAAACATGAATTACTTAAAAAAATAATTTATCTTTATTGTTGAAAGTATTTACAGATGACCCTCTTTTTTTCCCCTACTGACACCCTCCTCCCTTCCCCATCCCCCACTGCCTTCACCACCCTGTTGTCTGTGTTCATTGGTTAAGCACATATGCATATAAGTTCTTTGGTTTATATCTTCCCTCCCTCCCCAAACATAAATATTATTATTTTTTTAATCCTCACTTGAGGTTATTTTTTTTCTATTTATCTTTAGAGTGGGAGAGAGAGAGAGAGAGAGAGAGAGAGAGAGAGAAACATCGATGTGAGAAAGATACATCAACTGGCTGCCTCCTGCACGACCCAACAGGGTTGGGGACAACCACAATTGAGGTATGTGCCCTTGATCAGAACTGAACCTGCAACTAATTGGTCCATGGGCTGACGCTCTAACCACTGAACCAAACTGGCCAGGGTATGAATTACTTTTATAATCAGAAAATAAAAAGTAATTCAACTCCCAAAGAGTATCTGGTCTTTATGGTTTTAAAGGCATATTTTTACCAAGACTTCAAAAAACAGGTAATTCCTATATTCCTCAAACAGAGCACGAAAAAATAACAGAAGATTTATTAACCTGTTCTGGAGAGCCCGCACAGTCCTAGACACCAAAACGGGATGAGGGTAAGTCACAAAAAAAGATATGTTTGGGAAAGTTCTAAATAAAATATTAGCTAAGAAAATTTAGTAATATATATGCATATTTGTTTCTTTATTGATTTTAGAGAAAGAAGAAGGGAGAGAGAGAAGGAGATAGAAACATCAATGAGAGAGAACACAGACTGGCTGCCTCTTGCATACCCCACACTGGGGATTTGGCCCACAACCTGGGCATGTGCCCTGACTGGGAATTGAACCAGCAACCTCTTGATGCATGGGTTGACGCTCAACCATTGAGCCACACTGCCCAGGCACATTTAGTAATATATTTAAGAATACATCATGAGCCCTGGCCGGTTTGGTTCAGCGGTTAGAGCATTGGCCTGCGGTCCAGAGAGACCCGGGTTCGGTTCCCGCTAAGGGCATGTACCTCGGTTGCAGTTTGTCCCCGGCCCTGGTTGGTCATGCGGGTGGCAGCCACTTGATGTGTCCCTTTCATGTCAATGTTTCTCTCTCTCTCCCTCCCCACCCCCCACTCTATCTGAACAAAAAAATGGAAAAAAATGTCCTCGGGTGAGGATTAAAAAAAAAAAGAATACATTAATTTTATTTGAGGATAATTCAACATTAGGAAAACTGTTCATGCAAGCTAGTACAGTAATAAATTAAAGCTAATACCTATAAAAACTAAAAAATACATTGGACTCCATTCAATATCCATCCCAACTCTTAGCTACTTAGGAGAAGAAAAAAAAACAACCCTTAATCTGCAGTAAAACAAAAACATTCTTAACATAAATAAGGAACACAAAAAGAATATCTACTAACTGATATAATTGTATGGGTGCTCCTAGTCAATGGACTAAGGAAGGAAAAAAAAAGGAGAGATTAGGAAGGATTAAGGGAAATGATTTGTAAATGACTGCCAATATTGCCCTGCCGGTTGACTCAAGTGGTTAAGCATGGACCCATGCATTGAGAGGTCACCGGTTGGATTCCCAGTCAGGGCACATACCCCAGTTGTGGTCTTGATCCCCAGCAGGGGGGTGTACAGGAGGCAGCCAATCAATGTTTCTATCTCATCAATGTTTCTCTCTCTCCCTCCCCCAACTGTCTCTCTAAAAATCAATAAAATATATTTTTTAAAAAATTACTGCCAATATAGAATACCCAACAAAATCAATGAAAAAGTTACTACAGCTAATAAAAGTTCCAAAACATGGCCAAATGTGAGCTTTACACATAAATCATTAAGCTATTTGACAGTAATAAGAAATTATAAAATAGGAAAGAAAATCCATTCACATTAGGATTTAATAGACTTTTATAAAGAGCACAAATCTATATAAACTATAATAGATCTAAATAAATGGGAAGATATGCTATGATGATAAACAGGAAAATTCAACATAAAAATGACTTTATCCTCAAATTAATTTACAAATTCAATATTACTGCAATAAATATCCCAACTGACTTTTTAAAAATGGAAACTGTAAAGCTCATCTAGAAGAAAAAGTAGGCAAAAATAGCCAAGAATGTTTCTTAAAATGAGGAAGGAGACTAACTCTATGAGATATCAAAAATTCTGAGCTAGAGTGACCCAGTTGATTAGTACTGGCTTTCAAATGAATCAATCAATAAAACAGAAAAGATCCATGCATAAATATGATTAAATATATTTGTTTGATAAATGGTGTTGGGATAAATGGCTTCCCACATGAAAAAGTTAAATCCCTTGCTTCTTTATAGACAAACTTATTCCAGATTAATTCAAGAGCTTATTATATAAGAAATAAGATTTGGATTTAGAAGAAAACATTGGAGTTTTTTAAATTTTATTATTATTATTTTTTTCATCCTCATTTTTCCATTTTTTGTACAGATAGAGTAGGAGGGAGAGAGAGCGAGAGAGAGAGAGAGAAACATCGACGTGAAAGGGACACATCGAGTGGCTGCCAACCGCTCGACCAACCAGGGCCGGGGACAAACTGCAACCGAGGTACATGCCCTTAGCGGGAACCGAACCCAGGTCTCTCGGGACCGCAGGCCGACGCTCTAACCGCTGAGCCAAACCGGCCCGGGCTTTTAAAAAAAAAATTAGATAGAAAAGGCTTTCCTTAACAAGACAGAAGATAGTGAATGAAACCTGGACGGTTTGCTCAGTGGTTAGAGCATCAGCCCAAAGATCAAAGGTTCACAGGTTCGATTCCCAGTCAGGGGCACATACCCAGCCCTGGTTTCTGTCTTCCCTCCTTTCCACTCTATCTAAAACATCAATGGAAAAATATCCTCAAATGAGGATTAGCCAAAAAAAAAAAAAAAAAGATAGTAAATGACAAAGGAAAACATGACAGATGTGATCAGTTAGATATGGAAATGTTGGCTTTACAAAAAAGACCCCTTAAACAGAGTTGAAAAACAAGTGACAGAAGGGGAAGATTATCTTTAACATATATAAGGAAAGAATTACTAGGAAAACAAGCAAATGATATAAAAATAGAATTTATATAATATAAATGCTTATGAATGACGAATAATCCACCTCACTAATCAATGATATGCCTATTAAAATAATGAGGTACCTTCTCTCCAATTGGAAAATTCAAATGATAAATATCAGAGTAAACATTTTCACACACTGTAAGAGTATATATAAACTGGTACATTCCATTATGAAGGTAATATAACAATCTCTACATTTTACAAGATCCCCAGGTGACCCACGTGCAAAAAAATTTTTAAGCATTTATAAAGGAAAAATTAATATAAACTCACAGTAACTGCAAACATATTTTCATCTTCTAAGGCAGATTGTATCCTGTCTCTGGGGAAAAATAACACAAAACAAAAGCCTTATTTCACATAAATATATAAAACCACCTTTTAAGCTATATGCACGTGCAAACCTACAATCTAAAAAATGAGTTTCAATAACTTAGCCATCATGCTTTAAAAACAAGATACAAGTAGTAAATGCTTTAATTTGATACTGACACCTGAACAAAACTGATACTTCTTAAAAATATGCACTAGTCGTCCCTCGCCACTTCGCACTTCAACTTTTGTGGCTTCACTCTATCGCGTTTTTTCAAATATATTCAATAAAAAGTTGATCGAGACAGTAAAAATGATACAGTACATACTCGGTTATCTGAGTCAATTATATACCCCTCTATTACAATTAAAATTAAAATTACTGTACGTATGGACTGTAGGCCTATGTATTCTAACACCCCAGGAACCCTTCTGTGCCAAGTGCAACTGCTTGAGTCTAGAACGGATTAACCATGACAAACAAGGGACAACTGTACAGTCTTTAACAGCTACCTGCTAATGCATACACCTAACTTTTTAATATAACGTTTTCACATGGCAGCAATAAAATGATTTTCTTTAAAGATTTTCTCATACGGATGAGAAAGCAAAAGAATGAGTCGAAACTACTGAGAATTTGAAAGAAGGAAAATCTGGTTAACTTCTTTCAAACTTCCACATAATATAAATTCTATCTTTCAGTTTTCTTAATCTATTCCCTCCTAAATATTGCAGTACTTTAGCACTTTCCTAAGTCTTTATACATATCCAATTTCTGGTAGCTACCAGCTTTAAGACCTGATATTCACCTCCTTCCTAACTCACTCCTAACAACTAAGGCATTAGAAATGGTAAACATCAAAAATAGCAGAACCTATTCCCAAACACATCCTATTTTCTAACTTTTAAAATTAATCTGCCTATTGGTTTGTTGCCTTGTGTTTATTTTATGATTTCTATACACTTTACCTGTACAAAGAAGCTAGGAGCCTCCACGTGACCATCTCCTGTTGAAGAAGCCAGAGCATACTGGCTGTTTTTGAAAACTTCTGAAGTCCAGGTGTTGCTCGGTTCACTATTTTACTCAGTATATTCACCTGAATTATAAACACAGACATAAGGAGGTTTTCTATCATTTTGAGTAACAACTTTGTATTCTTCAAATACACATGCTAAAACTAATCTTATAGTCATATATATACATATATATGTGTGTGTATATATGTATATATTTAAATTATAAATTTGTCCTGTTTGTTGTCTTTTTAAATTGAATGTAATATAACATTTCCACTAAAAATGGCTTTAATTTAAAGTAAGGTGTGTTTATATGAGTAAATATGTAAAAGTTTAACATAATCTAGACTCAAGAATAACAGATGTGGGTACATTTTTTTTCTCCTTGTATATATACTCAGAAGATAAGCTAAATTTAACCTCCACCCAACAAAATCATAACAGGAACAGAGTAGCAATGAAAATGAAAAGTAAGGTATCTTCAAATTATGTTAGAAAAATTGATACCATATAACAAGTCAAGAAAAATATTTTCCTAAGACTGGTACCAAAACAATGCCATTTCTAGCCAAAACTTCAAGTAAGTCCCTCTTAGTTCTAAAACAGTTCTTAAACTTTTTGGGACTGAGGTGCGTGTGAAAATCTAATGAAAGGTATGCATGTTCTCTCCAGAAAAACACATAAAATTGTCTATCAGGATATTTAAGGACTCGGGGTACAGGAAACCTTTCCTAAAGGTAATGAAGAGCACCTCTTTATCTTGTTAAAGGGAATAAAGAAACACAATTATTGCCCTGGCCGGTTTGGCTCAGCTGTTAGAGCGTCAGCCTGCGGTCCACAGAGACCCGGGTTCGGTTCCCGCTAAGGGCATGTACCTTGGCTGCAGTTTGTCCCCGGCCCTGGTTGGGTCGTGTGGGTGGCGGCCACTCGATGTGTCCCTTTCACATCGATGTTTCTCTCTCTTCCCCTCTCTCCTTCCCGCTCTATCTGAGTTAAAAAAATGGAAAAATGTCCTCGGGTGAGGATAAAAAAAAAAAAGAAACACAATTATTCTCATTCAGAACCTGAAGAATCACTACAACAGGTTTTCCCTCCCTTTGAAAAGGATTCATACTTATGTCTTAAGGTCAGTTTTTAGTAAAAGTGTTATCTGCACTCTCCTTCATTAAATTCTTTTTCCT